GGTTTGTAAAACGATATTTCACAAAAAATATGAGGACATCATTATGTTAATTCTAAATAAAAAAAATCACATAAAAAAAAATCACATATGAGTTCATTTTTTCTATATTTTACTTCATTTATGTAATGATATGTTTAATAAATAGATTAATTTATTTTCAAACTTACTCCGCCGAAAATCATTCGACACCACGTGCATCGCACGTGCACTTTACTAGTAAAATGAAAAGGAAAGATAGACAGACAGACAGACATACACACACTAATAGCCACTACAACTAAACTACAGAAAACAAACCTGCTGTGCAAGGTAATAGTCAATGTCGACAATCCAGTTTTCATTGTCCTTTTTCAGTTCATCAGGATGTCTCGCTCTCTGGGCAATTCCAGCAGAGGATGTAGAGCCTTTGCCCTATAATATGTACATACGACAAATTTATGATATACAATCTGACCTTACACAAAGATTATGTTCGCAAAAGGCAGGTATTAATTTAACTAAATCTGCATAATCAAGGATAAAAGGTAATAAAAACAGAACCTATGGCAGACCTGCTCACAGCAGATGATGTAAGGCACAGTGTCTCCAGCAGAACAACCAGTCACGTAACCACTTTTTTTCAGTCTAAGTGCAACCTGAAGAACCATGCAAGAAGTATTAAGCTTAAAATACAAGGATGATACTAATATGATTCATTTGTTGTGTCATTAGCTTCACCTCTACATGAGGCTGATTTCTAGCATCAAGGTATTCTTCCGGTGGTTTCGTTAGTGTCTTTGTGATGACATATTTTTCCAGTGGTACTTGCCCGTTCCTCATTTCCTCTTGTACCTGCAATTAATTACATACTGCTATAATTATTTACTTGTCTGACATATCGAATAGATAGTGAGAATCAAATGATGTCACAAAATAATAAGTCCGCGTGATTCAATACAATATCTCAAACAATACAAGGAGATAACTTAATCTGTGAGTTTGCTTGCTCTTGTATGTTAAGCATATTTACTATGAGCCAAAGCTAAGGGCACAAAAAGTTGAAGAAAATACCTTCATTAGAGAATTGTGTATTACTTCAACAACATCCTCACAGGACCTGAAAGCACTTGAGCAAATTCATATGGTAAGCTTTAGAAAGACAACACAGAGAATTCATGCAGAGAACAAAACGGACCACCCAGATAAAATTTGACTGAGGCAGAAATCTCCCAATTCCTTTGACAGTAAACTCCAATCACGGCGGACCATATCAAGACCTTTCCGCTCGATAACCTGCAACGAACTCAATAAGAGTAAAGCAACAGACTACTGGATTTTTATAGTCAATTGAATTACAAAAGTATAGAAGAAGCTACCTCATATGATTTACCATCCTTAAAATGCATTTTGACAGCTGCATATTTCTTTTTCTTGAGCAACAACATTCTCTTGTACAAGCCATCGAGATCAATCTCCAGACACCTATACTTCTTATTAACCTATCAAAAACAAATGGGAGTCATACTATGTATCACATATATTAGACCTTTTAAACAAAAATAACATAGACCATACAATGTGCCAGACAAACATGCTAACAAAATAGGTCTAACCGAGGCTGAACGGACTCAAAAAATTTACAGTGCATAAGTTTCCATGTTAAGCCATAACCCAGCTCGTCGTGTTACAGATACTTCAAACAGATCAAGAGATCTACTAAATGCCATTCAATGCCTCAATCATAACATTAATCCATGATTTTGACCATATGCAATTTAGGCAACAAAGAGAAGATAACTCTTTAATAATGACTGATGAAGTACCGATATCCCCTTTCTGTCCAGCTGGAAAAACTGATTACCAATAATAATCAATTTAAGTAACCTCACCTCCTGAATGACCTTCCCTGCAATTGATTTAGCTTTTCCAATATCATCAAGCCCACTATATATCATTATCGAATCGGTGTCGCCATAAATAATCTGCTTGAAAAAGTATTTTAGCTTTACAGTTCTGGAAGTAGCACTCTAATGAGTTTCGTGCATGTTCTAGAAACTGAAGCAATTTTGTACAAGTGCTTACCTCCAAGTTTAGAGTATTTTGAACAAGATCTACAGTGCTCTGCAAAATTTCCCTTCCCTGCACAAAATACATAAGAAGGCCGATAGCATCTTTATCTCCAATGGGCAGACCTAAGAGGCCACCATTTAGTTTTTACCAGAATAACAAACTTCTTACTTGTAATGTTATAAGTTCTGCAAGGGGCTTTGCATAGAATCTCGAGTTAGAGAACCCCAGGCATCCGTACACGCTGCATAACGATTTTTTAAATCAATATATAACAAGTAACCAACAGAAAAACACATCTTTGATTTATAGGATAAAAGCATGAGCAAACCTATTTGCTGTCAACTTTAGCGCTTGTTGTTGTATCTCATACTGCTGAACTTTGGGACCTGAAGCTGTTTTTAACCATCCCTTTACCGTTCTTCTCCTCTCCACCAAATGTTTAAGTAACTATAGAAATGCAGTTTTTAGTTACAACAAACAAAAGAAAAATATTGAACATTTGTAAGTATTTGGAATAAAATATCCATTTTGGCTTTTAAACTGCATATGTACCTGTTAGTACAGTTATTTATCTGTGTTTCATATTCGTACTTATTTGTCCAGTCAAATAAAAGGATCATTGTGAATAGACATGCCAACTAATGATAACATTGATTTGTTTTTTCCAATTTCCATGTCAACATGTACCTAAACTGGATATCATGTTCGATCTTTTTCCCTTGCTCATAGTTTGCATGCTAGCTATTAGTATGTATGTAAATATCTATTCTATTACCAAGGGAATCCAATACTTCCAATGAATGTGGTTATATCTATATACCCTTCTTGTCTTGGTATGTTTGGCACCAAAAAAAATTTCCAGACCAGATACACCAATATATTTCATACTAGTTAACAGTACAGCTGGAGTAAAAAGCTCAGCTACTGGTCTGCATGAGAATTGCATATCTCCATTGTCTGCCACTATGTATATTTCACGTAATTCTTAAAATCATGCTCATATGGACATTTTACCTCTGGTAAAACCCCAGACCTTTTACTAGATGGTAAATTGGGAGGTGATCCATCGGCAGGTCTTTCTACAGTGAAACAGATATTATATTCCTGTCATGCAGATAAAGAGATACTTAAATGACTTAACAAGCAATTCCATTATGAACAGTGCATAAAGGGCACCAGGTAAAAAATAGTCATGATAGAAAAATATGAAATACAACTGACCTGAATAATGGAGGGATACAGACTGTTGAAATCCAAAAGTAATATATACTTATCATATAGTCCTTTTTTTGGCTCCAGCACTAAACCACCTAAATAGGAAGGCCCTTTTTTTCTATGTTACCCGGACTCTTCTATTTAGGAAGAATACCCGTGTCATGTCGTGTCGACACTGGTGTGGGTATGAGTGTCGGGTGTGGCATTTTAGCCTAAAATGTTACAGATTTCTAAACGATTGACGAGTCAGACGCTCATATCTCCACACCCAATACGCCACCCATATCCGAGTCCAGGTAGCATAGCTTTTTTTGTTTTACCATGATTATTTTCGGGAGCCTCATCATCAAAAGTTGTATCTTCTTGATCAATCTCTTTGCTCTATGCACCACCACTAATTTTCCGTTTCGCTGTCCTTGTCTCCTTGGACTGAGAAGAAAACTTGTCTGGGACAATAAACTTCTTGGCATGGAATGCATGTAGCAGGAGGTATTCCACTCTTTGTGCCCTAGCACCCTGAAATCAGACAAGACAACTCATTTTACAAGTTTACTTGCAATCTATCATGAAGCAACATCACTCAGACCCACTGGAAATCTCACCTGAAGAGTTTTATGCCAAAGATTGCCACTGATTTTAGTCAGTTGACGAGTGAGTGGGAGGACATTCAGGTGGAACATAAGTTCCATAGACAACCATGCGTCTGTTTCACCATACTCGATCTGCAAATAGTGCAAGCGTGAATCGCATAATGCAGAATAACACAGCTAGATATAGAGAACATGTAAGAATTTTATCTTCAGAGTTGCAAAGAAGGCAGGATCATTACTGAAACAATTTCAAATGCCTCGAAAACTGGAATATTGGCACATGATTAAAAAATTATCAGAAGAAAGATTACAACCTAGAGATTATGGAATTAGAAATCTGTTATACAATTTTGTCCGGGCTGCTGCTTAATAGGTAATACTGACCTACTTTTGCTAAACTCCAATATTGAACATAAATTTTAAATTCTCATGTCCTATGCATCATCGAGTATATATACATATATTCAGTGCGTGTAACTTAATCACAATGCTACAACCAAATTTCAAGAATATTATGGGAACTTACAAGTTCCAGTAGCGATTCAGAACTTTGGAACATCTGGGGAATATCATGAGGAGTTATCTCCTTACGGACCTTATTCAGCTGTGTCTTTGCTAGTTGTGTCAAGGAATAGCTAACCTGGAAGAAGCCAGACATGTTAAACAGTGAGAGATGACAAAAACTGCTATACAATATAAAATAACCCACCTCCTTCAGTAGGTCACGTGAACAAGTATAAATATCACATAAGAGATGGCCAGCAATGCAAGACATGATAGCGGGACTCGCTCCTGAACCAAATACTGAGCTTCTTTTGCTATGTTTGGGCATCACAGAGCGCTTGAGGCGACCTATTTTTGACAGCATAGTGAAAGGCTCGGGGTAAGCCTGCAAAATGAGATATTTAAACCATCCTAAAAAAAAGTAGCTTTGTGATGCTCAGATACAAAGCTTCTACAAAAAAGACCAAGAGAAAAAGGGGCAGAACCAAAATAAAAGGTTAAAAGAATAGTAAATGATGTAGAAAGGAGTTGGATGGTAATTAAAAGGCTAGATCTACATATTTTTAGGCGTCGGAAACTCTGTGGAAAAGAAAGCACACAGCATTGTATCTGATAGATGGGCCTGGATAGAACTCATCCCCAAAAGCTAGCTCACAGGGAGAGGGTTGCCAACCCACACTTATACACAATAACAGCCCAGTAACTAATCGATGACGGACAAGCATAATTTTTAACAGTTTCTACGTGAGATGTAGAAATCACTCCATCAGGAACTTCTGGAGAAGCAAAAAGTGCTGGACAAAGACTCCCATTATTTACCTAGTAAATATGCAAATTTAGTACTAGTATACAACAAATACCTGGACTCTGTGAAGAAGGACATCCAGGTCAAACCCGGATATATTGTGCCCAACCAGAACGTCACTATCCAATTTGTGAATCTCAATCACTAAACGATTTAATAAAGCTCTTTCACTGAAATGAAAATCATTATCATATAGCAGATAGTTAGCAAACTAAAAAGGCATAACAAAAAAATATGAAAGTTCGACCAATAATGGAAGAATAGTAAATTAAGCCACATAATGAGTTCACAATAAGACTTACTTGCTTTCATAGCAAATAACATTTGACCCAGCCTTAGCATTTTTCTCAAGTGCCTCCTTCGCAAAACCCATAGGAAATATGCCACCTTCAAGTTTACGCACAACAGTGAAATGACCAAGCATACCAGGACGGGTCCATTCTGAAGCCACCATGCGAGAATCTATCTGGAAAATTGTCACTTGGTGAATAGATTTTACTTTTATGATATTATAATGCAGTTTCATCATCATCCATAATGATATTTAGAAATGCAGTAGTCAACATGATTTAGCTCCACATGAAATGCCAAATTATTTAACATCGACATCTTAGACTGGAAAAATATCAGATTGTAAGAGAGAGAGAGGGAGAGAGATTCTATCCACAAATGTGTCGCACTGTGTTGATGCGCTGTACCTTAGCTTTGTGGCAGCAAATAACAGATGCAGCAACAATTTCATTGACATTCTTCTCGTTGATGATAGTTTTCAAATTTATTGCTGCAACTACAACAGGAGGAATTTCCAAGACATTTTTCGATGAAGTTGAGACTTGAATATCCTTTGTGAAATCTACTGTAACCTCAAATTTACACCAGCTCACCTGTCAAAAGTGAAAGTAATAGTTTATCACAAGGTAACCAGACACTGCCTATGTAATAAAAACTCCAGAGTATCGGCAAAGACTCACACGCTGAGCAGCTGCGCAGGTCGAGAACTTTGAGATTGATAACCATGATGGTCCCATAATTTCCGTTTAATCAAGAAAAGCTCCAAGCAGCTGCAAGCAACATTAGTTTGTAATTTAATAGTGTCTGGTTAATTTGAGGAATTTCACCAAGTCACAACTTTTAACCTATATATAGTGAAAAAACTCGTCAAAGTGATTAGATAAACATGCCATGAGTAATGATCAAAGTCCTATACCAGGACTACACCATGAATGTGAACTCAGAGGCCATCAACAATAAATGTGGCAAAAGTCTCGACCATACAAACGAGGCGAAGCGAAGACTAGTTAATGATTTTTCACAAATGTATTTTCTACTATATCAACAATGTTGGGTCCCCATTGTACATACAAAACATTTCAAAGTTAAAGGATATTATTGCACTACTGCACTACCCTTAGTAGTTAGTAGTGCCTTCAAGCTATTATCATTACATTGACTGACCTGCTATGAGTTCCAAGCAAAGCACAGAAGTTATTTCCCTTGAGATGTAATGGAAGCGGTTGGTCCTGTAAGGATACAAGGATCACTGAGGTAAACCGAAACTGACTAAGCCAAACAGGCTCAAACAGTTTTTCATTCTTCTCAAATTCATTACTCAGAATTCGGACATCAAAACTCCAAGTTTTGCTTGAATAAACCAAAAAATATTGACAACCCAAGATCATAAAACAACAGACCCCTACGAATTGTATAATGGCATACCTTAAATGGATAGTTGATCTTGAGGACATAATTTTCCCCATGAGGTATATCTGATCTCTCAAATGCATAATTTCTCTACAAGATAAGAAACAATCATGCAATGTAAAGGATTTCAATGTTTAATATTCCAATATAAAAGGATCAGATATCAGGATGTAAAAAATTATGGAGTCCACTATTTAGTTTATGAAATTATCCAGTGCAACATAGTGACGAGTTTACCAACCTTAACAGGTGCCATGCTGAAACTAGAAACATTCCTTTCTAGCAACTCCTTTGCTATTTCAGTCTTCATGTCTGATGCCAGCTCCTGATACAAAAGTTTGGTTCATCAAAAAAGAGGAATAAAAAACAACTGCTCGCAGCCTATAGAATGGCAAAGTATTACGTGAAGTCGGTTTCGCAGAACAGTTTGAGACTCTTCAACATCTTTCTGTAGCTTATCAACCATATCTTTAAGGTCTGTGGATGGCGTTCGGGACTTTTCAACATCCCTCCCTTGCTTTACAAGTTGGTCTTTAGCAGCAACAAGGGCCATTCTAGACTCTTCAAGCTTTTTTTCGAGCTCTTGAACTGTGTCATTGTGCAGAAAAGAAACAGTTGGGATTGCATACACGCATCTCTGCATGTTTTTTACAACCACACAGCAGCTGTGGTAGGTACCTCCTGACTTGACCTTAAACATAACAAACCATTCTCAGAATATCGAGTTTAGGAAAGCTCGTACCCTTAGCTCAAAAATTTGTAGAGAAGCCAAGATTTCAGATTAAAGATAAGCATAAGCGAGGTTAATTTCTTTTCAGAAAAATTTCATCAAATCAAAGTTGTCCAAATAAACTGACCAAATGTCACTATGATAATAGAAACGTATATGAAATAAAATATCCACAAAAGATTGGTTGAGTAAGATGTCATCTAAAATGTGTCACGATAGACAAAAACCAAGGTAAAAGCAGAAGAGTTTCACCAAAAAACAAAAAAAAAAAAATCATTTAGACCGGCTAATCATCAAATATGTGATCTCTCAAAGTCAAAACATAAGAGAAATAGGACAACAGAAAAAAAGGCAAACACAAGAAAAGATAATATGGTTTAAAGATAATTTTTCCCTAGGCACTTTTACTCTATATTTCACAAAAGAAATGCGTTGGGAGAAAAACACTATTCTCCCATGGAACTTTGAAATCATCATTAACGAGCTTTGAAGAAAATCTAAACCCGTTGAATCTAAACCCATTGAGATTCTACATCGCGTCCAACAGTAATCATTAAGCGTGTTTATTAATCCTGCAGAAGTTTGCTGAAGCCTTGTAACTTAAAGTTAGTACGCAAGTAATCAAGTGTCCAATCATGAAACAATACATTAATGAATATAGCATAGAACACAATTATAAAAAAAGGATAATGCATAATTAGGACACAGAAAAGAGAAATGAATATACCTTTCCAAAGAGATACAGATTCCCAGCATTATCACCATAAATTTCCTCGTAGGCATCAAGTATGTAGAACCGCAGAGATCCATCTGACTCCACTTCGAAACCCAAATTCTCCGATGCGTTACGGTCCGCAATTACATTTTGCCACCGTGCAGTTGCACTAAGAGTTGGGTCTTTAGAATCTTCAATTTTTGCATTGAGCAGCGCAAATATCTTCTTCTCTAACCCCTTGGCTTCAGCTATATCTGGTGAGCTTTCTTTATTAACAGTTCCTCTATCTTCACTCTTCTCCATGATGATTTCCTTATTCTGTAACAACAAGGTGGATGAATTACCTTCAGTGAGAGGCAGAATGTTTACATCACCATAGTGATCGCTACTCTCATTGAACTCAATCCTGTCATCAGCATTAAAACTACTCGCAAATGGCTTCTCAATTGTCGCAGACAAATCGCCCAAATTAGCTGCTGGGACATTGTTCAGCTTATTCCTCACACTGAAACTGCTCGAATTGGCCCTTCGCCGCCTCTTCTTCCTATCGTTCTCGTCAGGCAAGTGCTCGACAATCACATCTTCAACAATACTATCAGGGCACAACGTCTTCTTCTTATCGCTCTTAGGGTTAAACACACACGGGTTGAGCATACTGTCACTCTCCAGATCTCAAGTTTTGAGGGATGGAGGAGGAGAAAATGGGGGATGGGAGTGTTGAAAATGGCGGGAACTTTGTGCTTATTTTAAATTATATTATATACGAGATTCCTCAACTTATTATGGAATTCTCCATGATTGTCGCTCAAACAAATCATTCCATAACAACCCAATATCCCATCATGCAATTCGATCTATCACAAATATATATATATATATATATATATTGTAAACCGGATATAAATTATACTGAATTTCTTCTTTCTTCTTTCTTCTCAAAAGTGTGTCCATGCAATACATTTGGGGTGCCTTTTAGAGCATCTCCAATGGGAGATGTTAACTTAATAAAATGTTAGCCACATCATCAAGTTATAAAGTGAGTACAAAAATTACTCTCCAATCCATAATGTTATGGGCTCTTTTATGCTGACATGGAGAAAATAATTTTCCAAACTGTGAAGCCCACTTTCTAGTTTTCCAAAGCGTGTTTGAAAGCCACCTCATCAAAAATCATAACCTATTTGACACTGATTTCCTCCACGTCTGGGAAAAACTTTGGCGGGGAACGATAGCGCCAATTTCAGAGATTCACCCTCTTTGAAATCCCTCTCATATTCTTGTGCAGATTTGTTCATCAGAATGAGCTCGAAGGACAATCAGGTATGAAACTTTTGTTTATTTCCTTTCTTTTATTAATTATGTATTATTATTAATTTTTTTTTTTACAAAATTCTAAGCATCTTTCTTTTAGATGTTATGATGATGTGTTGTAGATCTATAATATTTAATCATCTTTCTTTTAATTGCTAGTTCTGTATGGGTAAGTATTAGAATGGGTTATAATTTCAAGCTTTCACACCAAATTAAATAGTAGAATATTTAGTTTATTCTTAAGTGTCAAAAGGTATGGAAAACTGAATGGACAATGATGGAATACTGATGAATGAATTATTTCAATTTTTTTTTTTTTTTTTTTTTTTTTTTTT